AGTCTGGATGAAGACAGCTGTGCCCTTGCTCTCCACTGTGACGGTGGTGTAGTTGTGGAAGATGTAGCCTCCCTCTGTGAGATGACGGTTCCCCCATACCTTCAGATGGGCCTGACCTCTTAGCCCAGAGGGAACCTGATGGCGCACGCGCATGCGCATACACACACGCACGCACGCACACAGACGCACGCACACACACACACACACACACGCACGCGCACACACACACACACACACACACACACACACACACACACACACACACACACACACACAAAAGCAAACACGGGGAGAATCAGATCTGAATTTACCAGAAGTAAAATTAGGTCAACGGGGTACAGACTGAAATGTTTACTCTAGACTGTTGTAGTGACACACAATCACAAATTATTCACCTTCATTGAACATTTTTTAAATATTTTTTAGAAAACAAAAGACAGAACAAAGAACTACATTTAAACAACAGAGGAAGATGCCAAGCTATAATACTGCACACTACACATGACTGTATTTCACGAGAATGAGGGTGGAGGTTACAGGGAGGGGAGAGCAGGCAAGGGAGAGAGAGAGAGAGAGAGAGAGAGAGAGAGAGAGAGAGAGAGAGAGAGAGAGAGGGGAAGAATCGAGTCGTGCATACTAGATTGATCTATTCCAGCCTTCGGGGGCGGCGGACCATACATGCACGTCAACAGCTGTTGCATATTATATTGAGGCTGTTACCTTATTCCCATTGAATGAGCAGAGACAGATGTTGCATTACAAATAATGTTAGTGTTGATTTGCATGTTGCCTGAGGAATGTGCACTCAACGGACAAGAGGTTCTCACTACTGTGCAGCTGTCACCGCTAAACAGCGCAGTGCATTTTAAACGTCTCAGGAAAGCAGCATGCACACACTGTAGGACACTGCAAACTAAGTTGCACGGACAGACTCACCTTTAGTTTGACGGTGCCTTTGTCTAAAATAGAAACAATGAGATCATTAAATGTGGGATATTTCTGTAAATCTCAGTTCTCTCATATCCGTGTAATCATCAGTGTAATACTATTAAATATTCAGTAGAGCTACTGCAGTGTGCCTGTCTTTCCCTGGGAGGTTCTCGCCCTGGGTTAGCAGGACATCCAGCTGCAACCTGTCTCCATGCCACTCTGAGGCAGAGCCAGCACCATCTATTAACGGTGCTGTCAAACAAATCACACACTGTATATACTAAGTGGCTGGTGGGATGGGCTGAACTGATGCCTCCAATCATAGATAATGTCTATGAAAACCCCGAGCAGAGGTCAATTAGGCTCAAGCTGTGTGTGTTCTTCAATCTGCATGTTTCTGCCAGCATCCCTGCCTGTCTGATCCCAACATCTTTTGAAGAAATCACACAACGGGGGGTATATCATAGCTCGATTCGTAAGTGCAAGTTTCCTTTCCAAAAGTAATGCATTGTGCCAGTGTAACCTTAGCTTCAGAATGCGTCCTCACCGAGCACTGAGCCGTGGCTGTGGACCACCGCCTGTCCTTTTACCGACAACTGCACCTGGACGCGGGTTTCTGCTTTTGCATTGAAGATGGTTATGCTCACGCTCTCCTCCACGCCTGCTCGAAACACTGAGGGTGCAGCAACCAAATAACCCCTGAGAGGAGAGGAAGTAGGAGAAAGAAGGAGAGAGAGAGAGAAGAAAGGAGGGAGAACAAGGGAAGGAGAGAGATGAGATGGGAGGAGAGCAGAGGACATAAGAGTGCACAGAGGGGGAAAAAGTAGAGGTGACAAAGCAGAAGGAGAGGTGGTGGCAAGAGATAAAGGGGAGGTCAGAGGTCAGAGAGGGAAGTGTGACAAGAAGCGGAATATGGATGAACACGTATTGCATAACTGTTTGGTTTTTAGAGGCAAATCCTCACTAATATCACTGACCATTCCTGACTATTAGTGAATATGGCAGTGTTATTGTAGTGTCATTTTACAGGTGAATTGAGCATAAGTTCACATTTCTTTCTCACTCTCTGTTTCTCACTTTCTCCCTGACCCACACACACACACTTCCACATGCGCGCATACACAACAAATCACACATACAAACAGGGACATTCCACGTGGATTTGTGCAGCGAGATCAGGTTTAATTGCAACGGTTACCAGGGACACGGTACCTGTTGGCCAATGAGCTTTCTGCTCGAGTGTTTTCTTTGGGTGGTCTGGCACCTCTGACAGAACCTTGGCGTCTGTTTTGAAAAATAACGACTGAGATTCCACACAGCCACCCTGACATTTAATTGAGGGAAGGAGCCTGTCACTGAGGTCACAGAGCAAAGGTCATTCTTTGATGATTATAAACAAGTCTGGAAAAAAAAAGCCCAATTTAAGTTTTATTTGGATGAAAGAATATCATCATCTGGCACAGAGGGGCTATATCTCTCAGGTAACAAAGGTAGAATAATAGGAGCTCTTGTTAGCATGGTCCTGCACAACCAAGTCAGAGAGTGTGGTATGTTAGGGGTTAGTCAGGGGTGTGTGGAGCAGATGATAAAAGCGTTCACCAAATGATGTGTTGTGGTCAGTTACTTCTATTATTCATAAGCATGTGTTGATTTGAGAAAAGAGAATACCAAATCAGTTATGCCACCCAAATATGGCAGGCATTCCTGGAGCAGTCTAAGTCGAAATATCTTTGTGTTTGACCAATTCAGTCCAGTCATTCCAAGTGTGGTTCTTAAGGCAAACAGGCCTACTCATTCCCTCAAAACTTAACTGAAGATCACACAAATTAGGAGTGAGCAAAGCCTCGAGCACAAACCCAATTGCATGCCTGAGAGAAAGATCAGGTGGTTGGCATTACAGCACTACTGCATTACCGCCGGAGGCAACTGCAGTTCCTGAGAGAGAAAGTCATGAGAAAATCCCCTGGAAAATAAGGCTTCGGGAGAAGGAAGATAATACGAGGAAATTGACTCTGTGCGTTTGATCTACAGTGAGTTTAACCAGCTCTTGGATGAGCCCGGATCAGGTGGTGGAGACCATGCTTATTTCAGTCACATGGCTTGATGTACTCAAGTTCTCGTTGTTTTTGCCCAACTTTTGTCCTCAGCTGAGAGCTGGTCAGTGCCTGAGAAGGATTTGTGTTCTCCTTTGTAGGTGAAGTCCTTAACACTCAGCTCTTTTTTAGTTCAGTCACATGGTTCAATGTTCTTAGCCTTTTGCCCGAAATTCACCCTCAGCTGTGAGTAGTTCAATATATGACAATGATATAAGTTGCTTTTTGTAACTCAAGCCTACTTTTGTCAGTAATCTGGTCATTTTTGTTTATTTTCTACATTGAGCTGCATTCCTTACCTCCCCCTGGAGAACCTGGAAGAACTGTTTACAACTCTTTACTATTAACGTAACTCTCAAGGTCAGGATTAAACAAACAGCTGACAGGACCCTGACTGATGGTGTGGAAGTGCCAAAAGTCAGTTTTAACCTTTTTTGCCTCTGAGTCTGGGGGAATAAACTCAATGAAACAGGCCACTGCAAAAGCCAATGAATTGACCTGAAATACTTCTCATTATCAGTGTATATTCATTAAGTCATGGGCTATCACAACATGAAAGGCAGCGCAAGCTACCTCTCAAGATATCACTTTGAGTAACTGCTCACAAGTCCAATAACACAACATGTTATTGGAATGAAAAGTCGGAAAAAGCATGACTGACGAAGTGTTGTGATAGTGCTGTGTAATGACTGTAATGGCAAATACTATGATATAGTGACAGATTAGGACAGAAGCTTTATGCAGCAAATAGTACAGATCAATGATCAAGATTCTTGCTGCATATATCTCAATGAAAAGGATAACGCTGCTATGACAACAGGTCACATAGAGCGAAAAAATATGTATTTTTCTTGCATATTTGGAAGAGTGTAGCCGAAGTGAATTTTTCCGATTGAGAACTTCGGAAATGCTTGTAGTAGCCTAAGTACAAAGCACTGCACCACATGCAACATTGGCTACTTACTGTCTTTCTTGTGCATAACTTCTGCTCACGTTGCAGATCAACAAAGTCCATGAAAGGCTCAAAGCTGTCAAAGACAAGCGCAACATTTTGGCCTCAGTAACCGAGATACTGCAGGATATCGGCTCTCTCCTCTGAAGGAGGCTGGAACTTTTGACTCTAATGAAAAGATAAATGAAAGTTGAACAGTCTGCGTCTACAGCCCTCTCAGTCTATCTATCCATTGAGGTTGGTTGCCGTGATAGGTGTGCAGAGCTTCGTCCGGAACACAAAGATCAACTTTTTGTAATAATCATCCCACTTCGCAAAATCCAGTTCCAAGCAAACCGTGTTTTTTTTTTTTTTCTTTTAGAGCCCAGAGTACACGGACAGTCCTCTCCCATGTGCCTTCACCCGCCCCGGTTCCGTTCTCTCATATTTCAGCATTACAAATTGTAAGCGTCCTCCCACTCCAGCGCGCAAAAAAAATGTCACTGTAAAGAAATGTTTGACATGTAAAAATCCGTGCAACCCTCGCTTCCCCGATTCTTCCTGGTGATCTCTTTCAAATTGGTCGATCCGCTTATTCCGCTCCTACAACCGCAGCGAGTCAGGAGGCGATCAGCGTCAGGCTGCGATTCATTCACTTCAATACCTCCTCTCACGTCTCTGCGGCCGCGAGCATGACTAACCCCAGTGTAAGGAACGGCACGGACCCTGCAGTTTAGACCACTACAAGATACCTGCACGTCTCATACTTTTGGTTCAGCTGACACCTCAAAAAGATCTACCAGGTACAACCGGTTCCTTGTCAGTTGGAGAACATCACAAGATTGCCACACTGAAAAAAAAGAGTATTTCGTGTAACACAACACAAACACCTGAAGAAGGATTATCTCGTTTAGTCTTATCTTTGTAGTAGTTGGAGTGCGCTGACATCCTGTACAGATATCTGCTGCCCTCAAGTGGTAAATGGGATTAAATGCACTAAAAGTTTATCAATGAAATTACAGGCCAAAGCGTTTCTTTTAGGTAACAAAATTTATTGAAAGATTTCTGAGGTACTGCATTTATGAGGATAAATGAACACTGGTGCACAGTAGATTTTCCAGCAGGTTTTCTGAAATACTGAACAAAAAGAATATAAACAGTAACATTATAAAAACAATTCACATCTTAAACTTCAAGTGCACGATGAGGCTGAAAAAGCACATCCAGAAACAAGAGGGAACTTTTTTTTTCCTGAATTCAGCCTCTCAGTTAGAGTACACCCTTAGCTCAACAACAACCCTGACCTTAATCCCTCATGCTGAACATGCAGGACCTGAAGCATTTCATTTGTAAAAGATACTGGCATTGGGCAACCTAGATGGAAGCCCCAAGACTCAAATCAAACAAGATAACAAGAGTAGAACAATGAAACCAATTAACGAAACAGCTGCACTGCTGAAGTGTCCTTGAACAAGTGTTTAAATCGCTGTAGGTTACACTGTGAATTCCCTGTGGAGACTTTAACAGGCAATTTCCCTATAAAGTATGACTTATATTACTAATTAACTCCTTGTTTTTCATCTCAAGCGCAACCGTGAATGATACTCACAACAGTGAGGTCTCTCTGTTTCTCATCCACTATGTTGTGATACAGTTTACAGTGCAGTTCCCCTTGTTCAGGCTCAGTGAAAGCAGCTTTGGAGAAAACAACTTGGTTTCCCTGGTTAACTTCCAGTCCATAAGCCTGACAGAGTTGGGCTGTAAGTGACGCGTCTAAGGACAAGAGCTGAGCCAGTCTGTCAAGGGGAAAGCGACAGTTACGGCTGCTGTATCCATGGCTGAATATTAGCAGCAGATCTCTACGACATGTCACCAGGTGCCGGTGGAGCGCACAACACTGCAGGAAGTTCAACCTCTGTGCCAATCGGAGCAATCGTACAGGGTTTCGATCCAGAAAAGCCCGGTTGATAGACAGAGAAAGCCTGATGGCAGGAGTGCTGCGGAGCCTCTCAGGGAGCTCCATGATGTGCTGTGTGGCACGAGCTGAACCTGCAGGAGATGAAGAAAAAGAAAATTATCAGCCAACATGGAGAAATCATCCCGGTTAGTTTACAAACTTGTAAAATCATTTTCAAGCACAGAAGTTGTGAATCTGCTGTGCACAAAAGAAGCCTTACATAAAATTTGAAGTTACATATGCCTGCCTTTGTTTAAGTAATGAACACAATCTCTTATTTCTTCAACATAAACTTATTCATGAGGCATGCTGAGCTTTTCAGTGCTCTGCATTAGAAACCTGCTCATACAACACTGGTTTCTTGCCTATTTGTGCTTTTAAGACAACACCTCAACATACATACAAATATATGAATGCAAAACTCTGTAAAGCATTTAATTATTACATATAGCAACCAACCCAAGTTGTAAAGAAGACCAAGAGCCTGAAACTCTTCCTGGTTGGGATGCGGTTCTGTTCCAGTTGCATAGCAATCCAACAGCCAGCTCAGATTCTCCTGTAGGTGTGTGTCGTTAATGCGTGGGTCGTAGAGCCGCAGCGGCTCACCACAGAGGCGATAAGAGGCATAGATGAGGAAGCGTACTGTCCGCTCTAAAATGGCCACACAGTCCAACCCAGACACCCTCTGGATAATCATGTCCTGCTTCACACCACGCAGCCGATCAAAAACAAAGCTGTACACCTAAGAGATAAGGATAATTTTAATAAAAGAATATATGCCCCGGAAAGTTTAAAAAAAAAATAAAAATAATAATCTGTCTATGATTGTAACTTAATATTACAATATTCTTCCTCAGCCAGTCACAACTGAGTCATGACAAAATCAATTGTAAACGCCCTGCATGCTAGATCCAAAAGATCTGATGTCCCAAACATCAAAAATATTACAGCACATTTTATGGCCACCAGTCACTCAAAGTTTTGTAATTTTCTAGCCAACCTCACTTCCAAATCACAATACAGGTAAAGTTTGTATGGCACCATAACACAGAAGTTCAGTACAGGCTGCAAAACATACGAATCTAGACAGCTTGTGTTATGTAAACCAACAACTGTATATAAACTCAAACTTCACTGATGTTTCAACTGTCATTAACACCATGCAGACAGGAGTACAAAATAGAAATGTAAATACTAGCCTCAGTCCATGGATGCAGACTAGGGGAGGCAGCGATGTCATCAATAAGGTAATGCACAGTTTTCAGTAACACTGCAGGTGGACGGAGGTCATTGGGGTTCGTCGAGTCTTTCCCAGCTGCTGGTCTGGAATACTCCTTGACAGAACGCAGGGGGTCTCCCCTGGGTCGTCGATCTCTTTCTGTGCCTGCTAACATCTCAAAACGATGAAGGCGGTTTTGTGTCTCACGGACCCGTAGCTCACGAGCAGGGCACATGGTCCGGCAGATCCCTCTGGGCACTGTTTCTTTCCCCTGTTGCTCATGTCTCTCATCCTTCTCCACCTGGCTCACCTGTGCTTTGTCTTGGCCTCGCCATTGTTCCTGGTTCTTCTGCCTCCACTCTCCTCCTGTTGGTGCATCCCTCCTCTGTGAGTAAGAGCTGTTTGGGAAAGTTAATTAATAGTTAAATATGTGGTTTAACAAGAAAAAGGTCTACATTACAAAAAGTAAACACAATATCAATAGCTTCTCTCATGCTGCCCCTTATCAACACTTGACAATTTCTACCCACCTTCTCACAGCCAAATTTATGGGAGTGATGACTCCTGCTCTGTGTTCATCTTGTCTCTATACAGTTAAATATACATATATATATATATACAGACATTTCCTAAACACAAATACATTTAAAAGTATGCGTTTTTTTGAGTGTGGAATACGCCAAATTACCAGTTAACCTTATACGTACTAATTACTAACTACAAGTTGTAGTTTAAGTTGCTTGCATTTCAAACTGTACTTCGCAATCTGTAATTCATTGCAATACCTGTTGAATTAAACTAAAATAGCAAATTGTTTAGTCAACTGTGATATGCTAAGTCAATCTAAGCTCTTTATGTTTAGTTAGTAGCTTTTAAATACAACATTGATATGTTAGTGGCCACAGTAGGTGTATAACTGTAGTGCTAAACACCCAGCTAACGTTAACGTCTAGCCATTAGCTATAAACAGTTAGCTAGCTAACAACGATAGATAACGCGCGAATGGCACTTCGTCTACCTACCAATATGAACGTTTCACTAAGCAAGCTGTCAACATACAATAAAAGTATTAGCTTTAAATACAATTTCTACGAAACGCGTAGTTTATTTTAAATAAATCTCATGTTTGTACTCACATGCGACGAGGCGCTCTCCTGCGGTTCATTGGTCTTTTACGCAGCTCGTCACTTTCCAGCATCATCCAATAAAATATGTCTTTGTTGTTTTGCTATAACGTCACATCCGGAATTGTGTTGGTTGATTTGCAGCTTGTGGAAGAAACTTTTTAATGACATTATACGTAGTATGGTTTAACCCTCAAAACTATGCCTCCCATGCACTACCAGTGGATACGCTCACCGAGCATTTTATTAGGAACAACATACTAATACTGGGCAGGGCTTCGCGTCGCTCTCAAAACAGCCTCTATTCTTCCTGGCCTTGATTCCACAAAATGTTAGAAACACTTCTTTGAGATTCTTGTCCATCTAATATGATTGCAACATATAATTTCTGATTTGTTAGCTGCACACTGCTACCACGTGATTGGCTGATTGGATAATTGCATGAATAAGCAGGTGTTGCTAATAAAGTGCTAGATGAGTGTAATACAGAGGCACTGGGGCTACAATGTAATGTTTAAAATTGGACTTCGCCTTTCTTCAAAAATGAACAGTATACTCATTTGATTATTTTCAGGTAATTAGTGAATATGCAGTACTATGGAAAAAGTTTAGGCTTGTTAGATATTTAGATTCTTACACATGACACAAAACCTACTCAAGTGTACGGAGGAGAACTGGTGTTGTTTTAAAAGCAAAGGATGGTCACAACAAATAGTGATTTGATTTAAGTTTTTTTCTAACTCTGCACTTTTTATTTAGTTAATTAATAAAAACTATTCATGGTATTATTTTTAAAAGCATCCTAACTTTACCTTTAAAACCTAAAACTTTTGTCCAGTACTGTACATTGAACATACGCATTTAAACTTGTCCGATCCTCCTAACTCTTACAACTCTGCTTACGTATTTGTATATGCAGCGGTAAGACTCCATTTAGATTTTTTTTGCAGCTGTAGTTAAAACATAAAACTAGAATACCATTGTTGTTTTCTATTTACCAATTTTCCATCTATAAAACAGCATCAGTCATCATTCAACATAAAAAAATTCCCATTAATACAGCTGCAAAGAAATGAGAGTACACATAAAAGACAAATGGCACAAATATAATATATCCAGACTGGGGAAATTGGTGTGTGTGTGTGTGTCCGTGTGTGTGGTGGGGGTGGGGGTGGGGGTGGGGGTTTCAAAGTGCATGTACTGTGTATCCCTTCCTGTGTTGTATCTTTCACTGTTTGGGGCAGTAGAGCTCGTGGGTTCTTGGTGTGCCGAGATGCTCCTCCTCAATACCTTGCTGGACATGGATTGTATGGCGGCAGACCAATGATGACAGTTCCAGCAGCTCTGAAAATGCACTGGAAAAAAAGATGGAAAGAGAGTACTGAGTACGAGTGTAACCTAATCAATGGCAGTATGGATTTTTAGGTGCTACTGAATACTACCAGCATAGAGTTCTTTAAAAATGAAGTAATTTTTCACCTTTCCTTTTTCAACCACAGAAATACAAAATTCAGCTATTTAAAGAAGACAGACGATGAACAGTTACAAGAAATAACTTTTAACTTACAGTGAAATAGTCTGGGAAGGAGCAAAAGAGCAATAAATCGAAACACTGATAACAGAGCAGACATGTATACACAGCATTCTCTATATATGTGCGTACCCTGACAGTTGCTGACTGATGTCCTTTGATGTCATTTTCATGTCCCTAAGGCACTCTAGAGAGCTGCTGTTGTCCTTATGATCTCCCTCTGTGCACTCCATCAGCAACTTCTCACTCTCCTTTAGGGAAGCTTCAGCTTTATCTAAAATGGGTAGATACAGGTGGATATGATTATCGTAACATTTATCATCAGTTCTTGCATAACACACATAACATTTGATGTTTATAAGAGCACACACTGGTTAGGTCACATTCAGTCAGCTTGTGGAACAATTTTGTCAAATTGTCAAGATCCAGAGGCACATAGTTTAAAGTGACATGACTTTTGTGAAAACACAGAAAACCAATATCTTACAATAACCAATAAGACCCCACAGGGCACCAGTAGCTTTCAAAGTCAGAATTATACTGGTGATTTTATTTTACAGACTCATGTATTTGTTTGGTCTATGCTCAAGTAAGTGGTTTGAAGAGAACAGGACTGTGTTGGAGAAATGGGATATCACATATTTCCTTACACCGACTAGAATTTTCCAATGTAAGAATCAGAATTTTTAACTTTTTAACATTGTAACTACAACCTAGAAATTCTCTTCTGTCCCCATCAATGTAGAAGTTCTTCACAGGCAGCTCATGTCGGGTGGTGTCAACAGCTGTTGCAAAACATTTGTAGTCCTCTGTGAACTGCTTCGCAGCCTCTGCCACAGGAGTCAGTGCAGCAATCTGACGGCAAATGATAAACTGGATGAGAATCACATGCAAACACACTGTGCATATTTTTACAACACTTGAAAAAATGAAACCAGATATTCATCACCTGTTCTGATTGGACCTTATCAATCAGCACAGGTGTGACCCAACAAGCCTCAACAGATATGAGTGTGAAAAAGCAGCAAGTGTCTCCAGTAACAAATGTCAGTTTTTGTGTTACGATACTCATTTTAAATGTATATGATATGCAAGAATCATTCTGATTTCTAGCTAGACACTTTTGCAATTTGTACTTGGTTCAAGATTCAGCTATGATTGCTATAATTGTTGCTGCTTGGCAAGGAGCTGACATTCAACATTATGTCTGTCATTACAATTGCAAATCTGATCACAAATTCAATGACACTGAAAAAAAAGTCACTACAAAAGGAGAAGTTCTCCTGACCTGCAAATCCAGTAGCTCATTCCCCAGCCTGTTCTTTTCTGCAAGCAGGTATCGGCACTTCTTCTCATGGACCTCATTACGCAGTGCCTCTTCTTCCTCCATCATCTGCAGAATCCTTGCCTCTGCCTCTGCTTTAAGTTTTGCAGTATTGTGCTCCATCTTCAGTCAAACACGATAGAGATAGAACCAGATCATTCATAAGTTGGGACTGTTGAAAATGTGTTTATTTCCCACTGAACACAGTGGACAAGTAAGTAAAAACTACTTGCATGATAGTTTGATTTAAAATTTCATTGCACACTGATTTAACAAAGCAGATAGATTGAAAACAGTTATCAGCATATCTGCTACACTTAACTAACTCACCTTAGCTGTTAAGTATGCCAGTAGGAATGTTTGCATCTTCATGTCCCTCTTCTCAATCTCTGGGTTTCTCTCAGGTTCGGTGGCATTTTCTATCACTGTTTTATCTTAGAGAGATTCAAAAGAAAACTGTTATAGGATTGTCCCATTTGTGTTTAACTCCACACATTTTAGAAGTTAAAATCGGTTTACCTTTAATGACTGAAATGTCAAAATCTGGTCGAAAGCAGTGTCCATCTGAGAAAGTAGACTGCAGAATACTTTTCCCGAGCAGTGATGGCTCCGTTTCGCGCGACATTGCTGTAAGGAATATAACATGAATACGCAAATGTTATTTATAGATCTCATTTAGACAATATTACAGGCTCAATTAGAACTCAGGGAAAATAAGTTCTTCAAAAAGATCTTTGCACGACTGGGTTTCACTGCAAGATATCAACAACTGACTGAGCTAGAATCATACACAATCTAAGTATCAACAACATAGCCTTTACACCTAAAATAAAGACCTTATTTAAAGCAGTTCAAGTACTGGGACTGAACATCAATACTGCTTGGGCACACTACAGTTAGCATATTCATTTCATTTAAATTTACAAGATCAAAATGAAAAATGTACTCGTCTGTCATACACTGAATACACATTCAGTACTTACAAGTTAGAGCCTGTGGGGCCATTGAGCGTCTTGGTGGAGTGCCCACCTTTGGTCTTACACCACTGGGTTTAGGTGAGGAAGGCCGTGGTGGCACAGCAATAGACTCATTGGTCAGTGAGTTACTCTGTTAATGGTTATGGGGTGAAAAAGATACAAAATGTGTAATTTCAAAGGGGTGACAGTAACATACACAGAGAAATTAAGTCATATGAACTGCATATACACAAGGGGGACGGAAGAAAAAATATTAACTAGTCATTTAAAAATTTCACAGAATACTGGAATCTTAAATCCACCTCCTAAGTAACAATACCTAATGTAATCCAATACCTAATTGGATTACCACAAGTAACTAACATGCAAACTGTAAGAAAAAGAAAAGGGAAATAAAAAAAAAAAAGGCAATACCTTTGAAAGTGATGTCTTCTCAGCAGCCTGCATATATCGAGACTTGACTATAGTTCCACTTGCTAAAGTTTGAGGAAGAAATTTAAAGATATTAATAATTAAAGAAACAAAAAACAGAAGCCTTGTATTCCAAAATTAAGCATATATGTGCTACATAGCTACAGCTACAAATTCTCTTTTAAGGGAAAAAAACATTAGTTCAATAATTCAAACATGGTCCAAAAACGTCAATCAAGATGTGGACATCTACAAGAACCCTCTGGTAAAGCTATTTGTGTCATTAAATATAAAGCTCTGAGGGGCTGCACATATCAGTGTTTTTTGCTGTATTTTGAGTCACAAAAGAAAAAGATCATGTTACAGCAATGGTTTCAGAAGTTAATATGCACACTTAAATACTTTTCTGCGGTGACAACTTTGCATAAATGGGATATCATAACACAATTCAAGCTGAGTGTCACTACAAGGTAATCTTAGCACGTCACTATCAAAACTAATTCATTACATCCGCACACCCAGGTGTCCAATGCCATGCATTGTGAATTCAACGCAAATACTTACATTTAACACCTTTCTTCCCAGTTCCACTGTTGTTGGCTTTATTAGCATTGCTCCCACTTTTTGAGCTGAAAACAAACAAAAACGTAACACGAATAGAAATGAGAGCACTAATTACAATAGAAAAGCGGAAATTTTTGTTTAGAGAACGAGCTAAACCCAAGGCTAAGACTTAATGTTAGCTCAGCTACCCTTAAGTTACTTCATTGTTACAGTTCACAAAAAACGTAAAGACGTGTACATTTAGTTGCTTTTACATGCTACTTATTGGCTATTTGTTTGCTCCAGAATCAAATTATCCTAAAATTAAACTAGCCACAAATTTGCGAAACGAATGGCACTCGTTAAAATGACGGAAAAAAACGACAAGGACTACCTTTTAGCGTCGATGGAGGCATTTTTGAAACTACTTGGCACTGTTGTTGTTCTTCTCGACGCCATGATGTTTTGAAACAAACCGCGTTTCTCTTTCCGCCAGAGATAAGTTCGCCCAAAAGCTTTTTTCTGTTTACCCTACACTTCAATGAACTCTGCTTCTTTCAGCTGAGTGTGACAACAAACATGACGGAGTGGGGAGGGTAGGATTTGACGGCCCCGCCTGTACGCCAGTTTCGCGAGCCGGCAGAAACAAGAACGGATACATTTGTTCCGCGCTTCTTCTTCTTCTTCTTCTTCTTCTTCTTCACTGAACATTTAGCGGCGGATTGCAAATATGGAACGTGAATACTGACATCTGCTGTAATGGAGTCTGTAGAGTCATAGTCAATGTAATATTGTTTATGAATAAATAAATACCATAATATTTTCTTAAGAGGATACCATACAACTCCACTCCACGGTGAACCTGACAGTAGGAGAAAGGTGATTGAATTTGATTATGGCCTGATTTTCTGAAGTCCTACATTCTATATTTTCTATGTAATATCTCACAATGTTCACAGAGAGCCACTTACTAATTGTAGCCTATGTCAATGGTAAGACTCCAAGCATGTAAGAATATGACATACTACCAACTCCTGATGTTCTGATTTACAGATGTGTTTATTATATTATATAGATATTGGCTTTACTTCCCAAATTTTCGATAATCTCCATTTTATTTTCCACAGTTTGTAGCGGGATCTCCCTCAATTCTACCCATAGGCTGATCTACATGACCCTATAAAGTCCTGATTCTGATTATTTTAATTAAATATTGTTTTAATTTTATATTTCATCAGTTTCGTCATTTAAGATTTTAGCTTCACATGCCATCCCTTCTTCTGCAGTGCTGTTTTCTTGCTTATACAGGGAGTTAACATAATAATATCAACACCTGTGCAATCTGTGGTCTTATTTTTGAGGCTTATGATGCCATTCTTTGTTGAAACTGCGACAGAGAGATGCAAAGTGATATATACAGGGCATTATATTGTACAATTATTCACATTACTGTGTCCACACTTTGTAGTTGCACAAGTGAAAAATATATGTTCGAGAAAGAATGCAACATCTGCTCTGCATCGATTTCAGGGGATGTGAAAACCTACAGTTGCTCCAGTAACCACTAGATGGGTGTAAGGGTCTGCATTCACATCATTGTCAACAGACATTTGGTCACAATTTTATTCCAAGTAAAAAAAAAACTGTTAGGCTGTTAAAAACAGCATATTTTCCTATTTTCTGTATATATATTAATATATTTAATTTGTTCACCATTTATTAGGAGGATAGGGCCAATGCTTGCCACTGAATTGCTGGAAAGCTGTGTAAACACTGAGCAGGTAATTATCACAAGACTAACAGTGATGAACTGACTGACTATGATACACATGCAGGAAATATAGAGTGCCTAGTCCACCTAAGCGCATGTGTGTAATTGGGGCACCCAGAAGTTACCCACAGAGACACAGAGGAGAACTGCAACTTCAAACCTTGATTTTGGCTCTGTAAGCCACTGGAAATGATAACCCCTCACATGCATGTACCTGCATGTGTGCGTCTTCATCCCATTTGTGTGGATATCTGCTTAGCAAGTTCTCTTACCTCCAGTTTACTGGTCGTTTGTGTGCTCAAGTCTTAAAGAACATAATGGGTGCTGATCCCACTTGTCTGGGCTGGTCTCATACAACAGGAAGGACAATAGGAAGAGTTGTGGGTGTGGGACTGGGTGGTAAACACTGGTAAGCAACTTCTGTGCTAAGTCACTTCCCCAGACATGGATGGATAAACCACTGGGGGTGGAGATGGGAAATAATGGTGGCTTGTGAGTTGGCATCTAAAAATTACAAATGTAGCGAATAATGCAGTGCAATAGTACATTTTAGCCTTCACTATCCCATCGTACTATTTTAAATTTACTTTTTTAACACATTAGTTGAATTAGATCTCTATAAAGTGAGTGTGCTGGATAACATCCAGGTATTGAAGCTAGTTTTATTCTGACCTTTCTGCTTTAATGAATTTTCATGATAAAGGTTGAACATTTGGGCTTGGCACTAAAACAAATCTCTCACAAATACAGTCTGTATTTGTGTGCGCGTGCGTGTGTGTGTCCTACTTTATAAGTCCGTGTAAAGGCCGGGTCTTATCATTGCTCTACTCTCTCTCAGTGTAATAAAGCCTTGAGGCAGGCCGCCGTGTGTCCGCATGCTGGCAGTCCATCTCTCACCACCAGGCAATGCCAGGACCAATAGCTGCTTTGAGGTTGACAACTAGTGCTGTTGATGAAAGTGATATGAGCAGCATTCACTCTTTTGGATTCATTCAGTAGTATTTTTAGATTTTTAAACCATTATAAATGTTTTATTGATATAGTGGTTTCCTTTTACTTGTCTCTGGAGTAAAGAATGAGATTCAATCCACGGCTGAGGAGCTGAAGTGAAAGAGTGAGAAGTGCATGTTGAAAGACATAACTATTAAGAGACATGGAGTCGCTGAATGAAAGTCCTTGTCTCCTTTCTCAGCCCACCTCTCTTGCCTCTCTCTCTGCTCCGAAACTCTGACGTCTAATGAAGGATTTGTCTATGTCACTGTGACCTCACTGATACTCCGCTTGGCCACATTTTTAAGATGATAAAAATTTGAGGCGAAAACAACTTTAATTCATGTTCTGACTGAAGTGAGAGAAAAATTTCTTTCAGCTCTCCCAGCACATGTATGTACACATGATTGCACACACCCAGCCATGCAGCCCACACAGTAGCCCCCTCTTCCCTTTGCGGTAAGCTGTTACTCATCACTACCCAGTCTGCCAGTCTGGTCCACATAGGCTTCCAGGAATGCCTCAGATACACACTGCCTTATACAGTAAAGCCAACAACCAGTATTTGCAGCATTTACATGGATATTTGAACAAAAACACATCACTCTAAATCTTATTATCATGCTTTTGCTTGTGGGTTTATTAATTTATTCAGCATTAAATAACTGATTTACCAAAGTTATAATCTTATTTGGTCATCTGACCATTTACTGGATCAGTTATTGTTTGGCTTTTAATGTATTTATCAAGATCTTAATATGCAGATGGTCTATTTATTTATCTATTTATTTATTTTTTCAGCAGACAAAGCATTTCCGTCATATCTTGATGCAGAAGTGCCCGTTTGGTTTTTTGGCCACCTCAGCGCTCCAGAGCAGACAGGTGTGTGATTTCCTCTGTTTGCTCTTAATTGTAGCAGTGGGCCTTGCTATAGAAGGCAGCTAAGGAAGAGTCTAACCTAACTTACCTTCACTGTATCTGGGTGGCTCTACTGGTCAAGTCATAATGAATGGACAAATGGATAAACAACTATTCTCACTGACAATCAGCGCTTTTCGACACTGAAAAAATCCCCTGTGTAAAAATATATTTTTAAAGGAAAGTTGGATGAGAACATCGATACCACTCCTCATTCTTCATAGTTATCATCACGTCCATCAAATCACCCAAAGCCTTGTTTTCCACCTCATCCATGTGTTGCTCACCTCCTAATTGTTTAATTACTGTGCTTATCTTCCCAGGATGTGACCTCAGCTTGGTGTTCGCTCTTGTGGATGAACCTTTGCAGCATGCCTGGCTCCAGTGCTGGAGGCTGAGGGATTTCATTACATCATTACAGGTCAACGGCTAATGTTCCTAAGTGAACAAAGAGTTGCAGGAGAAATTGTATTTTTTTTTTTTTTCTGTTTCTGAACGGCCAATCTAAAATGTAACATATATCATTAAACTGAGGCAGAATGACACTCGAATTAAATTAGAGTTACTGGTAAGTGTTGCTTAAGCATATATACTGTACGTGTGTGTGTGTGAGTATCTGTCTTTATGTATCTATGTGTTAAGCCTCCATGTGAATTTTTGCAAATGAAAGATGAGCACCATATAAGCAAGCATGACTGGCTGTGTGTGTGTGTGTGTGTGTGTGTGTGTGTGTGTGTGTGTGTGTGAGAACCATGTGCAGTGCTTTAGCAGGGCAGTGTAGCGTGTAGTGCAGGAGTGAGCAGAGGCGGCCCGGGCCAGCACAGCCCCAGTACCCTGGTAATCCCTGCGTTTTCAGGAGCCCTGGCCCGTACTTGATGAGCTTGAGCAAGAAAAAGGTTGCGCTCTCTCGTGTGTTTCTCTCTCTCTCTCCCTCTCTTTCTCTTTCTGTCGCTCACTCTTTTATTCCCCCTCTTTTTCTCATGCCCCCCTCCTCCTCCCCGTCCCCTGGAGCCACTTTGCGAATGAATGGATTCCAAGTGTTTACTCAGCAACTCCGTCTGTCACTCTGTCCCTCTATATTTCTCAGGATCTCATCAAAAAGAGGAAGAGAGCCTGCCGTCAGAGACCACCAGAGACTATAGGTGTACATTTGACAGACAACTGGAGCATATTTTAGGGAATGCATTGCACATCCTTGCAGCTGTGACTTCAGATGCATGCATGTTCAACTCATTCTGAATGTCTGATGCACAGAAGAGATTTAGGGTCACAAACCAGTTTTTTTTTTGTAATGCTTTCAGGAACGCATACATAAACAACCGCTGTCTTTTACTGTTGGCTTTCTATCACTCACAGAAACTACTAATTTACTGTTTAAGTAAAATTTCTAATTTATGTTTTCTGTATGACAGCAAGCAAATATATAAAGAATTGAATCCAAAAACAAAATGTCCCTTTTTGGAGTGATCATATCAAATTTATGCAAAACAAAACAGGAACATTTTCTGGATGATGGTGGGCCACCTCACTCTGAGGCGGACAAAATGAGGACTATATTACTTGTAAATGTCAATTATGTTTGGGTCCATAAATCATAGTGATAAAAATCAATAAATTGCTAAATATCCCAAACCCAGTGTCAATCTGGTTGGTGATGTTGAACTGATTTATAAGTGATAATATTGTTATTCATTTCAATATGCCAAAACAGCATATTCAGGCTAATTTGTTTTTGGCATTGCCGTCTATTCTTGAGTCTTTGGTCACGTTTACACATTAAAGTGTGATTCCAGCTACAGTTAGAAAACTCAATAACTACGGCCTCCAAGATAAGACAAGTGTTTGAGCTATACATCACAGTGAGATCCAACCACAATACTGCAACATCACGCAACATGAACTTGAACCAGCAGGGCTCCAGCTCTCATTGAGCTCTACTTCAGGGAATTCTCCATCTTCTGTTGTTTAATCCACCACTAAGATAAAAGATTTACAAAAACATGGTTCCCTTTTTTTCTTTTTTCTTTTTTATTGTCTGTAATATAGCAGTTTAGACAATTGTGTCTATGTGTTTGTTCTGATAAAAAGAATATTACAATTTATAATTAATTTATAGATTCTGATGTGGGTTCCAGTGCTGCAGCATCATCCTGATATTGGGTGGTGGTGGTGTTGGTGGTGGTGGGTGGGTGTTGGTGGTGGTGGGTGGGGGGGCAATATCAGCCATTTTGTAATCATAGTAGCACTGGGTGGAACAGAGGGTTTTCACTGCACATAAAGTTTGTGCATGTTGGTGCATGGATGGGTAAAATACAGTGGCTAAAATCGTAAATACATAACATATAGAGCGTGTCAAGGTGCAGAGAAGTGTAGGGAGCCTCTGGTGGGGTGGTTGGGGTGGTTGGGGAGGGGAGGGGATTAGCAAGAGGCCGCAGGCCCCGAGGCAGAGGGCCTGTTTCCTGGCCTGAGCCCCTGTTTGTCCTGCCTGACCTGACAGCTCTGGGGGCAGATCCTGCTTGGATACAGCTCCACTCCCACGCCTGTCTGAAGCTGTTAGCCACTGGCTGTGAGTAGCTAGCTGGGCTTAGTGTTGTCTGAGCTGCGGCTGGGTCGGGAGGGGTCCAGTCATCTGTATGGGTGGAGGGGGGAGGGTGGTGGGTGATAGGGGATGCCAGCTACTTTGTGTTGGTGGAATGAGGGTGACGGGGAAACAGGCATCTCGTCGAACAGTGGGCGGTTATGACTAATGAGTTTGGTTTAATTATTGCCTCCATATCTTTTTTCATCAGCCCTGTCAGAGGGACAATTAACCATACTGTCTTGAATAGTGAATGAATGAATATACCCATGAATGCATATGTACAAATGGGACACAAATTATAGGAGAAGCTAAGTTTTAAATGAGGCGTTTGGTCAATATACATAGTACACTTTGGCATAGATTCTACAACACTCTTCCTAAAGACCCTCACTCAATTGCTATTTGACAATGGTGGCGGAAAACACTGACTATTTAGTCCAAAATCTCTCACAAGCATTCAAGTAGAATTATGGTGACCATAAAGGCCATGGTATATGACCCACATCATTATGAAACATAAAACAAAAACTCATGCGTCCTTGTGTATGGAAGCATTCTCATGTGTTGTTTTCCCCTCTCATTTTTTCAGGTTATCCTAATTTGTCACTTGTCTGTATGTCATCAGGTTAATAAATGTTCATGCAACATGGAGCTGCGTTGCTGGGCTCAGTCCAGACATTGTATCATCCACAAACAATCCACAACACCTCTCCCACTGTTGTTAAAAGTGGTGGCAGCAGGTCACCTCGCTGTGTATCTTACCCTTTGTAATTAACCTCAACCCTCTATTTGCCTAAATAATCAATTAGAAGCACTATCGCATGCTTGTGTTTGAAGGATGTTGTCTACATACCGATTGTGTGCAGAACTGTGTTTTTACTTCAAAATCCATAAGATAACACCTCCTCTCTCCGGCCAGGGGACTGTTTGATTATCACTCTCCAAAAATGAAAATGAAATGAAGGGATATTTACTTTTCTTCCCCAAAAGCTTTGATAGCTCAATTGCTTGTTTTCAGTGGCTTGTTATTATTTTTCAATTGGTGGATTGGCTGTTGGGTTTGGAGTAGCACAGAGCAGCTCTGTGACTGTTGTTTCTGCCCTGGATATACACAGAGCTGTCAGAGAAAGCCCGCAGAGAACAGCAGAGAGACAGAAGGGGGCCACCACTAAATCTCTGTTGGTGTCTCACACGTTAAAGACTTTAGCTACATCTAATAATGCTCCACTATTATTTAACATCACCAATCAGGCTTTATGGGTAATTATCGGGGTCTATATATTGTCTACCAAGTACCTTCACTGGGCTGTATTTTACCGTCATGGACTTGAACTGACAAAAGGCCTTTTCAAAATAAAGTAGCCTGCTTTTTATTAACTAAAGTTTGAATTTTGAAATTTTGAAAACTCACAACAAGGTAAGACAAAAACTAATTGCTGTAGCACTAAATCACAGAAAAATAAAACTCCCGTAAGATGATGTGGTTTAGAGTTAAATATGATATCACAGCTCCAGCATAAGTCCCTATGGGTGAGAGGAATATTACAATTTTCTTTTGGGTTTTATCCTCCTGCCTCCATCGTCACTGGTGAGCCAGTGGCGTCATTCCTGCCCTGCCTTATAAAACTGTCAACGCCTTTCTCTCACCTGGACTGACACACACCACCCAAACACCAGGACAGGACAGGGGCTATTTTTGGCCAGAGCAGGGAACCAGCCACTGGTAAAACAAAAGCCTTCGTACCTAACGCGTTTTCTCTTACGGGCATCCCCCCCCGCCCCCAGCTGATTATTTCGACAAAGAGAAGAACATTTCATTGTTTCTTTTATGAATCTGGCAAATTATTCTTACTTCTCTGGCATGTGCAACATGACCGCAGAGACGCAGCACTCGCCCTCCGAGGCAAGTCCTGTTGTCCTGTCTCCAAATGTGAGCTTGGACTCGCCGCTGCCTCCGCCGCCTCTGATGCTGCAGGCCCGGTCAAAGGACAATATTTTGATCAAGTCTGAGCCCAGAGGAAACAGTCCCAGCACGGAGGATGGAGCCGCTCTGGGCCAGACTGAGGAGCACCTGCCCACCGGGAGCCGCCGGAGGAAGAGGCCCGTCCAGAGGGGGAAACCTCCCTACAGCTACATCGCTCTCATCGCCATGGCCATCGCCAACTCCCCCGAGAGGAAGCTCACCCTGGGGGGCATTTATAAGTTCATCATGGAACGTTTTCCTTTCTACAGGGAGAACTCGAAGAAGTGGCAAAACTCCATCCGCCACAACCTCACCCTCAACGACTGTTTTGTGAAGATCCCCCGGGAGCCCGGCAGACCAGGTAAAGGCAACTACTGGACTTTAGACCCCGCAGCTGAGGACATGTTTGACAACGGGAGCTTTTTGAGGAGGAGGAAAAGGTTCAAGCGCACAGATGTCAGCACTTACCCCGGGTACATGCAGAGCTCCAGCGCCTTTACCCCAACTCCAATGGGCAGGCCCTCGTACCCAAACACTCTGTACGCCGGAATAGGGTCTGGTTATGGCTCTCAGCTGACAGCCACATCCCCACATCCCGCCATGCTGCATCATTACCAGACCTCCGCCGGGGTCGGCCAAGGACAGCCGCGCATGTTCAGCATCGATAACATCATCAGTCAGCAGAGCGGCCCGGGGGGAGAGCTCAACACTCAAGCGCTGGGGCTGGGTGCGGGTGACCTGGGCACCATGACCTCCAGCTGCTCGGTCACCGGCACCGACCCGTCTGCGTGCTTCCAGAACCAGACAGTCAACCCCTCGGCGAACATGCTGAGCAGAAACAGCGGGAACATCACCTCCAATCTGGCCGCGGGGTACCCTTACTCCTCTTCGGCCTCTCCTCCTAACCTGCCAACCATGACCCAGTCCGGGTTCTCCCCGGGGAGCTCTCAAGTTTATTGCTCCAGCAACCGGCTCTCCCTGCCGGCCCTGCGCCCGAGCTCCTGCGCCGACCACACGGAGCAGCTGCTGGGCCTCTCCAGCCCCATGAACTCCTACAACAACACCTACATGAGACAAGCCAACTTTGCATCAGGATTAGACCGGTATATGTGAAACTTTGTCAGCTAAAAAAAAAAAAAATCCAAATTAATTACAGAATAAGACCGATAGGCCACTAAAAGTCCCACACTAAAGAAACATGGCCTCAATGAGTCCATATGAAAGGAAACAATTAATATCATAACATTAAAAGGTCCCTATCTGAAAATCATTGGGGTATTTTAGCCAAATAAGGCCTTTGTTCCAAAATAGCCCACTATTATGTCACCAAATGTTCCTGTAAGAATTTGATTTACTTTTGCCAACATTAGAAACGAAATGACAGAAAATGACCGAGCCTCATGCAAAACATTCCTATTAATAGGTGTAAAGCCATTTAGATCCGTTTGACACATTCCATGACTGTATCTCAGAGTTTAATGTATTTTATTGTGACACGTTTCTTTCATATTGCCTGTGTTTTAGAGTTTGTTTTTTAAGTTTACATGCATTTGTTATATCATCCAAGTCTGCTGTTTGTCATGTAAATAGTTTGTTATAATGTAAAAACTTTAATAAAAGAAATGTGTTGATATTGGTGAAGTCAGATTGTCTAAAATAAATTCATTTTTTAAATAAATGTGGTTTTTATTTGTGACAATTTAAATATGTTTAGTTTCTCATATCAATATCTACTATATAGGCCTATATAAATAAATAAATATATTCATACTTAAATGATTTTTAGCCTAGTCTTTACCTCAAAATTCAGACATTAGAAATATTCAAATATTGGCCTGTTGTAAAGCAAATTTAGATGTTTAATATTACCTAACACAAGGTAAACATGAAATTAGTGGCCCTGTTTTTGTAGATGGCAATCAAAAGCCTACCCCCCCCCCCCCCCCCCCCCCCTTTAGCATATATCGTGAGCAGATGTATAAATTAGACCCAGTAAATATTTAGAAATAAAGAACGCATTGTAAAATTATAAATAGAACAGAAATCCCAGGTTACGAATTGTCCACATTTACTGACACTCTAACTGTGTACACATGAAACTCAAAAGATGCTAAATGTTCACCAGATTTAAAACCTGAAATACAGGCCTTCTGTCAAAACTGAGAGAATACCAACAACACAATGACTGAGTAAAAGATGTACAAATGAGATTTGTAATTTTTACAGTTTGTACTAGAGTCTCTGTTTCATCTTCAATATCTTTTTAGAAATAATCTGCCTCAGTCCTACTCCTAGCATAAATGGAAAGGGTGAATTTGTTTTTCTTCATACTTAGTTCCTTTATTTTGAATTCCACCATATGAAGTTCTTATTTAAAACATCTTCATTAATTTAAAAATAATGCTTTTATGTTACTTGTGAAATGAATATTATATATATATCAGTTTTATGTTCCTAAAAACATTTTTTGTTTCAAGGTGATGGATGCACATGTGATATTACCCTTTCAGTGCTCACTCACTTTTTCTTTGAGGAGCCAGAATAACAAATCTACTGATTGTTCACTGGTTATCAAACTATTTATCAATAGTTGTTGTTAAGAATTTAATTTGTTTTTTAGTTTGTTTTCTGTTGAAAATGAAAATAACAACTGGACATTAATTATAGTCAACTGCTGAAGCCTTACATTTATAAAAGTTGCTTCTCATCTCATCTTATTCCTTTGTAGTGCTTCAATGGTATCTTTTCCATCATGGAGAGGTAATTTCATGACTGTGCATCCTGTAGTTACATTTTCTTGAATATATTTAAAAGTTTAAAGCAGAAATAAAAAAAAAAAGAAGAAAGAAAAAGAAGAGAGATAGAGAGATTTACAAAAATTTATAAAAATATAAACTTATTTTTATTTAATAATAAAAATCTCAAATTTGTTTTTTCTCGGGTGATCAAGCTATCAACTATCAATAATTTGGCTTTCCATTGTTGATGCATCTGAGGGGTTGGATGATGTAGGTTATGCTACAATCTCTTTGCAGGGTCCATGATACAATCAGCAAGGGTTGTATCATAATCAAACTTGTATATGGAGTCCCAGCTACAGTTCTTACTTCGTTTTGCAGCAGGCCTATAGCACATTGTTGCCCCAGGGCCACCTGGTGGGTCAATCCAACCATGCACACAGGATCAAACAGGCTGAAGCAGTCAGCACCAAGAGTTCTGGGTAAGTGAGGTGGAACAGCACAAAGAGCAAACAGTAAGTCCAACCTTCTCCCGCGTATGTCATGACCTGGGAACTATTAGATATATCAAATCAGGTAGTCAGGACAAACTCAAAGTGTGGGTTCTGCACATAACCAGCTAAACCTCATTACCTCTGTCTGATAGCCTGCAACAGCTGCCTGGTCAGTTTAGGTGAAGGATGTTGATTCAACCCTGAAATGCTGATGAAAATGAAAGAATCAAACAGTTGCTCCAAGCAGAAATACCCACCACTAGATGGAAGCAAAAGCAAGAGATGTTCAGTCGCTGGGTTTATTTACACTCTTTTACATTTGCAGTTTGTAAGTTTGTTGTGATTATGATTAATTGCACTGATGCTGGTCAACATTGTAAGTAAGCAGGTAACAATGTTCCAAATGCTATTTTTTTTTTACCTACAATGAGGTTGGTTGGATACAAATTACACAGAGTAAGACTTAATCAAATTTTTTAAATGTATTTTGATGAACTGAACTCATGGTTTTCTGCTTCCTTAATTCATACTTAAATGAGCGATTTTCCCAAGAATTGCTTTTGTTAATTGAAGAATTGGAGTGAGTTTATAGAGTGCTGCAGGAATGAGTCCTGAGTATTCAGCATTTTAACACATCTGCTTCCCTCATCCCGAAGTCTATGAGTTGTTTGAATGGGTTTACGGTTAGATGGCTGAAGTCTTAAAAGAGGCTGGTTGCTAACAAGTGGCTAAATGGGACTACAGAGGTTGTCTGGGACGTTAAACGTCATCACATGAAAACTGATCTACTCACCAGTCCGCCTTTATGGTCTCGTTGTATTTATACTCGCGCTTTTTCAAACTATTACTGACTTTGTGAGATAAGGCTTTTGTAGAAGAGGTAAATGCCAAAACAAACTGCAAGTTGGAAGTTAAGTAGTGGTGACCTTTAAGTCATCTGACTGTGATGTAGTTTGTTTATAGTCTAACATTAGCTTTTTAAATCTGGTGGTTGTATTTAGGCTTCAAAATAAAAGTGGTGTTCATTTGTGAAGATTATCATGCTGAACAAAATGTGTAACTATTAAAAACTTTTGTTTGTCACAGAGCTTATTTCCTGCACTAATCCAAAAGCCAATGTAAAATCCCATTGGCTTTTTGTTAAGGGAATCAGGGTGAAGGCAACTTTTGGGTCGGTCTACAAAAATACCTAACTCACTCTATCCACATGCGTAAAAATACTATGTAAAAATACTGATCAATATTTTGTTTAACATGGTTTTTCCAAGTTAAAAGAAGCTCAGAAAACTTTGAAAAGTAGCTGGAAGCTCATCTACTTTTTTTGTTTCCTCAGAGACTTTATTATTCAAAACAATCTTCATTTCATCTTTTAAAGTATTAAACACTGAAAATGGAATACTGAAATCAGATGTCCTGATAGAGAAGACGGAAGCACATCTACTCTTAGTTCCTCACTGAGAAATTCTGGATCAGGCCTTGTACCTTGCCCACCACCGCTGCTTGCGCTAGACTGACTGGTGAAAAAGCAGTGCATGTGGAGATCGGTTTGTTAAAGGGAAACATCAGAGAGACTCAGCCATACATGTTTGAGTCTCAGTCAGACCCAGACTCAGATGAGGAGTCTGCAGTGCACCAAAATCTGCGCCTATACGTATCAGGACGGTTAGCACAGTTAGCATCTTTTATTTGTTTATGTTGTTTGTTAGCTTGTGACTGGCAGTGGTGGACACAGTGTTAGTGGTTGTGCTAATGCAAACTCTTGCTCTCTGTACTGACAAGTTTTCAGGTTTACTTTGCCCGCCCCCCATCCCCGCAAGTTGACAGGATTGGTTCCTTAGGTTTGTGACGTATGAAACCACGGCTTTCTGAGATCGTCATTGGTACAGTGCAGTTCCAATTGAGCACTAATGCAAAGAAGAAATTTATGCAGAATTTGAAATATTAAGAAGCTGGTTAAAGGTTGGCTCTATGTCAGGTTTTGTTTCTTATGTTTTTTTTTTATAATGAAATGAAAATTGCGTCACCTTTTCATGTGCACAACCTGGACTCAAGACTCTGAAAGAAATATTTTGTACTGGCTTCAAAACTGGGATATTGCAATTCCTAACCTTATTCAACAAACTACACCATGCTGGAAAACGTCTCAGTGTGATGTCATATCTGCCCAGTTATCTGAAAGACAACAAAAATGCTAAAACACATGAATATCATCTACAACTTAAAGTGAGTGTTTCCTCCTGCAACTCAAAACTGGCTTCAGCAGGCAGCTGGTGTAGCTTCAGTGTTCATAGATCACCAGAATGAATGAGAAACAGTGGGTAATCAAGATATCCAGGTGCTCCTGTGTAGGTTTGATGCATTCTGGGCTTCCTAAATATCATGGTAATTTTTGTTTCAGTTGGCACTATAGTCTCGTCTTACACTGGTGAATGTATAGAGTCATAAAGTCACAGTCTGCTCCCTTAATCTGAGCCCTAATCTTCTATTGGACATTTGTTTATACTTCATAATGCTGCTCTCACAATCTATCTGACACCCAGAATACTCTATAGGTAGTATGAGGTACATGAATACTTGTGCATCTAGTTAATAATTTCTATACTTTATAAATGACCATGATGTTTCTTATTGGGTCACACAGATAAGAGGATACTGCATTTTATTAACAAATAATTGCTAGTTGACTTAAACTGCTCATCTCTCATTATGTCAGAATCCCTCAGCAGCCTTCAGGTTTTCAGTTGTACCATTTCCCTGTGTACATAGGACCTGACTGTGATGCTTATGACTCTGGTAACAGCAGAGGGCGCCTCATCACCACGAACGGCAGTAACAAGAAGCCGCTCCATTCGGGCAGGTCACGGCTCATAACAACCAAATCCCTATTAAACCTTTGGAACCTTGAAGAACCTGAAATATCCCGTGTAGCCTACGTATTGTAGGTAATCAAATTTTAATAATTCGAAAAATTTATTTGACAAAAAAAAACGATTAAATAGCCTAAAGACTTCTCAGTCATATGCCACAACAACATTAAATACGTACAAGTAATTTTCTTGATAATAATAATAAAAAATAATGCATATAATACTTTTGTATCTAATATTCTTTACACATAAATATTTATTTTTGAACGGGCCGCTCAGTCCATCTTTCACTGACTGACTGTTAAATATGCAACACTGACTTCTAATAGGCCTACAGCACATAATCAACAAGTCTGTGCATAAAGAATGACAGTTTTTCATATCGGAGAAAGTCATGCAGCTCATTACGTCTGTGGTCCCTGTTGCAGAAGACACTGTGAGAGGTCAAGTAAATAGATAAATGAATAAATAAATAAATAAAACGTGGGCATGTGTTTGTATTGAAAAAGACCCTCTGGCACAAAAATGAATGACAGGGGAAAATATCTAATTATGTGTGCTGCGTGTGAGACCCCCGAGAAAGTAAATGTGTCAGGCCTGACGGACAGTTGTCAGGCAAGTCTCAGATTTTGAAAGGACACAGGGCTCAGTCAGGGCAGGGTATTCATGCCGCCTGCTTCACTTCAACTTGATTTCTCAGTGGAACAGGCGTTTCCTTCAATGAATATATATAACCTATATATAAAACAATGCAGATATACTGTATGAAAACTCTGTTGTCCTCTAATAAGTCAAACATAAATAAATAAACGCAAAACTTATAACAGGCAGCAAATTGTTGGACCCACACGGTGAATGGGGTGCTGATGTAAACGCATTACAATAAGTCGGAGTTTCTGCAGCGTAATGAACTGGAATGTCCGCCTGCTCCACATAAAACCCGCACACATTACAGACGCATTACACATTGTCATCTGCTGGCCTTTCTCTCCATGACGAAGACGAATTGGAGCAGGTTGCAGCTGACTATGCCCCTGTGCACCCTTGTGAATTACGCAGAAAATGCAGATGGATAATGTTGTGACTTCTTGACAAGGAAAACACAAAACCCGTGAGAAGTGATCAGGGAATTAGGCTACTGGCCAAAATTCAATACGCCCAAATTAACCAATTTATTATGGACTCGTGCAAAGCTCCGTTTGTATAGCCGGTTCATTTAACACCTTAAATAAAGACTCAGTTTACAGATCTACATGTTTAAACTCCAAACAAGAATTCGAAATAGCCCTCAATTAGGTTAATCGTCAAACGAAAATAGTGTTAATAGACCTATATTAGTGAATTTTGCAACATCCTGCTATCAATTATAAACTGCATTTTTATTTGGCAGATTCTGTTAACAAATATATTTGACAAGTAATGGAAATGTAGCCTAGTTATTATCATTAATATTATCAATAATGGTTAATAATAATTATTACTATTAATACTAATAATAACAACAATACTAATAATAATAATAACAATAATAATAATAATCGGATTTACCTCTCCAGCTGTGTCATTATATTTATGAGTGCATGTATTTTCATATATTTGAATAATAACTCACTTGTAACTATATTATGAACAAATGGGAAATTTGAATACACTATAAAAATGTTCAGTAGCCTATAAACTTCGATTGTGTTTGTGGGCTGTTTCATAAATATCTCAGTCACCATCATCGTTGTACACCTTATACTTTTCTCACACTGTAAGAAAATGGTCAATTTAGATGCGTTTAGATGAATTTAAATAAGTCACGTAACCTCGTGTTCAGAAATAAACTTGCATTTCAAAGGAGTAAATAAGAAAAGTCTTAATTCGGTTGTCAATTAGATTTTTTTTTCTTGCTTTTAATGGACTTTTGTTTTTTTCAAAATTCCTATTTTGAAATAGATTATCGATATATTGATGAAGTACAGAATAAAGGAGATCTCCACCTAGTAAATAAAAACTTAATTACTTAAACTTAAACAACTTAATATGCATGAAAACAACTGATAGCATATTATCCTCCTGTAAAGTGTAGGTTTATTAGGCTGTGTGTTTTTTTTTGTTTGTTTGTTTTTTTTAACCAAACATGATTTCAAGATTCAAAAGCTGCTCCACATATTACTTTTTGCAGGGTGATCTCGTCCAGTTCCTGGTAACAGTGACTCAAAGACCACGTGATCAACGTGGTCCTATAAATACCTTTTGAAAGCTAAGGAGGATAGAGTGACAGTCTGGCTGGATACCTACCCAATCCCGTGCGTAAAAGATATTTTGGAAAGACACTTGGATATCCAAAAGTAGACTTTTAAATACCTACAGCACAAACTGATCACAGACGGAAACCATCGCATTTGAAGACAACCCAAGTGTGTATCGGTGCAACATCGATGATCTTTGACTGTCTTTTTTACGCCTGAAAACCCGAAGTTTTCTGCTCGATGAGAACCTCGCACGGCCCTGCTTGACCAGCCTCGGACGACCAGGAGTCACCAAAGCCACAGGTCAAAGAGTTATTTATCTTTTGAATATATTCTAGCCATGTGTGCATTCAGTAGTTGGAGATAGAGCTGCAGCAGAAGTCTGGTGTGGTTGTAAGGGGGAGAGGGAGAGAGTGTGCGCGCGCTCTCGCTCATTAGCCTCACCGGACCACAGGAGGAGGAAATCTGGGAGAGAGGGGGAAGAGAAGCGGCGTCTCCAAGGATGACTTTAGGGACGGATATGTCCGACAGCTCTGCATTGTCCGAAGATGTGGACATCGATGTGGTTGGGGGTGACATATCCGTCGGAAAGGACGGAAAGTACATTCACCACGAGTTCAACTTGGACAATGACTCGGACGATAATTACTCCCAGAACGCGGCCGAGAGGAGTTCCTCTCCCGGTCTCAGCAGCTCCGACTGCCCGTCAGACCAGATGGGATCCAGCGCAGACGCCGGGACCGTGATTGGGGACAAACCCAGAAAAAGTGCACTTGTGAAGCCACCTTACTCTTACATCGCCCTTATCACCATGGCCATCCTGCAGAGCCCCAAGAAACGCCTCACTCTCAGTGAGATCTGCGAGTTCATCAGCAACAGATTCCCTTACTACCGGGAGAAATTCCCTGCATGGCAAAACTCAATTCGCCACAATCTTTCCTTAAACGACTGCTTCGTGAAAATCCCACGGGAGCCCGGCAACCCAGGAAAGGGCAACTACTGGACCCTCGACCCGGACTCCGCAGACATGTTCGACAACGGGAGCTTCTTGCGCAGGAGGAAGCGCTTCAAGAGGCACCAAACTAATGAAATCCTCAGGGACTCCGGTGGCTTCCTACCCGGGTTTGGATACGGTCCGTATGGATACAACTATGGACTTCAGCTGCAGAACTTCCACGCAGCTCACAACCCGTATCACCCACACCACACAGGTGGTTCATTCCCGTTCCCTAACGCCCCCTGCACCTTGCCCTCATCAGCCTCCATATTCCCTGCGCCGCATCCCCTGCCCACCCTTTTAGGGGCCGACTTAAGAAAGCCCTTTTATCCCCAACTAAGCCCGTCTCTGCCACCTCTCAAGACGGACTCCAGCACCCCGAGTCGGCCTTCATTCTCCATTGACAATATCATCGGTGCGGCCAACTCCACCGCCTCTTCCTACAGCGCGCAGCCGGGCAGCCAGGCTCAGATCCTGGCCATGTTGACCCCAGCACTGGCCTCTGCTTCCAGTCATTTGAACCTATCACAGGACAGCATATTACACTCTGCTCCACAGAGTGAGACATTTTCCAGCAAAACCCCGAATATGAACACTTGTCCTTTCTAAAAAAAAACCCAAAACAAAACAAAAACAAAACAAAACAAAAAATGGACCGCTGAAAATCTTTTATTAAAAAGCCAATTGTGGCGTCGTCCTATGTGAAGGTAGGCTGAACATTATTGCGTGTTTTGGCTCTCCTAACGATGTAAGAGGAGAGAAAGGTTTATTTATGACTTGTAAATATGTGTATAATATTGAGAGACAAAAACGAGAGAAACTCGGAGGGATCTTTTTAAAAACAATGCTGGCCTGTAATCTGGCTTGTGGCCTTCACTTGACAGTGGGAGGAAAAAGAAAATGATCCTGTTATTTTATAAGTTAAAAGGTGTCACCCATGGCTACGGGGATGATTTACAAGTTTTTTTTTTTTTTTTTTTAAATATAATTGAGAATTTTATTATGATTTATATTGTTTTTATTTTGTTGCGTCGTGAGAAAATGGCACTGTTGTTGTTGACATATGGCTGACAAGAGACGGCAAACTCAGGTTTTACTTAGAAAGCACATGGAGATAAAGGGGGGGGGTGGGGGTCGGGGGGAGTGGGTTCTGACAGAAAAATAACCATTTCCCACTATCGCCCTCCCCCCCTCTCCACCCCCCCACCCACCCACCCCCTCGAATCTCCTCTACATGGTGAATTTGTGACAATATCATTTCATGTTGTTGGACACGTAGGCTGTGTGGTTTTGGTATATATATGAAAAAGAGCGCATTACCTCTCTCAACCTTTTAATTGTTGTTCGTTCCTTATCTATTTCACAATTTAATCTGTGAAGCATACAGTATGTCATGTGTTGCCAATAGAGAGAGACACCTAAATGTTCATAGGTCATTTTTTGTTGTAATGACAAGAATAATAAATGTTTGTGAATTTGAAAAAAAAAAATCGTTATTTATTTATTTTTTATTGCATGGAAAATTGAGGCGTCAGAAATGTAAAAAAAACAAAACAAAACAAACCTAAAGGCTAACGGACTATAAAAGCAGCACATGAGTTGAATCAACCTAAATCAGGCTATATGCTGTTTTTGTAAACCTTTTTTATTTATTTATCTAACGTGTAAACGAATTGTTTTGGCAGGTCTCAAACATTTTGACATGTATGTTGCAGGACTTCATCCCTTATTTGAACGATTGCACACGGTGACAGTAAATTCTCCATTTAACTATTTACACTTTAAAGCCAAATCTCAATATTCATTCTTGCTCCAATCGCAATTATAATGAATTGAAGTGTGAACACCGAGCAGTTGCAACGAGGGGATCAGACGAACTCAGCTCAGTCTGTTTGGCATGCAGTAAATGAAGACTTTGTAGGTGTGAGAAACGGCACACAAATTCTGTTGAAATATTTCAAACACGACTTGATGTATATAACAGTCATGAATATCACGCAACAGTGGGCAAGTATTCCTCTTGTGTGGCTCTTGCTCGCTTGTAAAGGACCATTTTCTAGCCAGTTACAAAGGCCCTAAATGAATGGGGGACGTTAGCAGGCCTCGGCGGTCTGTAATTGAAAGTGAACAAGGATATACCCACGGTCTTTTGGGCTTTCGTTGCTAATTTGTAGCAGCATTTTTCATCAGGCTCCTAATCCACCATAATGCGGCTTTTTGGCCGTTTGTTGATGTTGTCAGTGTGGACCCCTGGCCCAAGGGAGTGAATGTGCGCACAGCGAGCGGTCCCCCTGTGAGACCAGCCAGCCACACACACACACACACATTGGGACCCTGAAAAGCAATCTTCTCAAAAGGCCCTCGGTTTGCTCCGCTTTCATGTCATCTGTGTTGTCTCGGGATACATATAAAAGAAGCAGTGGGACTCGTCCGGCCACAGAAAACAGGCCCATTGGTCTTTTTCAGAGTTGTTGGAGCACATGTTTCCAGACAGAAGGGGGTGTAAAGCCTCTTTTATTCACCAGATCTGTGTGCAAATGGTTAAATTAGTTTGTGGGTGTTTTGACAGATGATTATTAAGGATGAAGGGTGGGAGGGCTGACTCCTCTGTTTTCCCTCAGCACAGCTCACTGAAAGTCTTTGAAACGAAAACCAACACATGACTACTTTCTTTATCCAGAACCAGCCTTTCTTTCCTTCTTTCTCTTTCTCTCATCTTGTTAGTGCAAATTGGGCAATTGATAAATATCGCATCGGGACTGGAGAAATCATTTTGATTCCAGCCTTTCCCCCCCGTTATATCCGCGACGTTAATTGATATCCTGCATATATAATTTACACAGTAAATGAGGTGGAAAAAAACATTAGCAGACTATTGAAGTTTTCTCCGCACAACCCGCCCTGACAGGGAGTCATTACGCACCGCATCAGTCCATTAAAATCCACATGAAGCGTTTGCAGAGCTGGTTAAAAAAACGTTTAAGTAACGGCAGGAACGAAAACTAAGCCAATAAAAATCACTACACACAAAGCATAACACACATACACACACACACAGAGAGAGAGCGAGAGAGGGAGAGAGAGACACACACACTGGATCTGCCATGGAGAGGTTCAGCCAAAGGCACAGGCTTTGAAAATGGACGACTTGAGACTGAACCCATTTGTACGGATTTTCGGATCAAATGCGCAGCAGCATTGTTCGTGTCTGCTGTAAGATTACAGGCTTGTGACCAGAATAGACCTGGAACTTGCTCTTCCTCAAACCACCACAAACACTGAACACATTAGACATCCGGAGCGCGTCTTACAAGACGTCCGTTCATTTTTCATGTAAGTCCTAATGGGAGATCACCGCCGCTTATGTATTGACACGTTATACTTGGTAGAGACGCAGCTCTCGGTGCTGGTTGTCACTTCCAGACCACCCGCAGGATCAGCACCGGACAGCGAGTCTTTATAGGCACCACGACGACATTCGTCATATTTCGTGACGTTTTCTCAGACGAAATGAGGCCTGAGTGTTATGTGAAGTGACAGCCAAATGACTCAACAGTCACCACAAACACATTCATAAATTTCAAGGCATTTCCAATCTCTTTCTAACCGTTTCCATGTGCCCTGTTTGGGCAGGAAGCAGCTTTAAACACGTATTTCGTGCCATTATAATTTATTTAAAGAGTTAGATGTCAACATAAATTTAGATTTATCTCTTCTCTTCATTCTAAATATTTGATCCTTTCAGGATTCCCCGGGAAAATCCTAGAAATGACAGACAGTGATTATAGTAGGACCTCATTATTATTAATATCATTATTATTATTATTATCATTATTATCATTATTTTAATTATTATCATTATTATCATTATATACATTTTCGTTGGGCTCTCTCCTTAAACAGGGCATGGCAGCAGGGGATTAAATGAAATCGTTCAACCTCAGTCTTTCACTTGCCAATAATGTCTGTAATCGATGCATCTCGCACTGCAGTGTCTTGAAGGACACAAAGAAAGAGGGTGTGCTGACACCAAGTGTGTTTGTGCGTCTGTGTGTGTGTGTGTGTGTGTGTGTGTGTGTGTGTGTGTGTGTGTGTGTCTGATGTCACGATGGTCTTCAAGGTCACGCTCGTCAAGAAAAAATGTTAAAAGCCATTCTTCACTAACTGTATACATAACTACTATAATATAATATAATATAATATAATATAATATAATATAATATAATATAATATAATATAATATAATATAATATAATATAATATGGGCTGTAACATCAATATAATGGGAATAAACATGGATAGTGGGAGACCTAGGTTTTAGTCCCGCTGAAATTAACTGTAGGCCTATAGTCACTTCAAATAATTAATTCTACTAAGAGTTTGTTCCAAAGGACAATGAAAGAGACCAACAGCAGAGTCTGACGGACACACAATTATAAAAGTGCAACTGGGAAACTCTGGAGTGTGTAATAATGAAAACACAGCCCACTCTCATTTTACGTGTTGGGGACATTCTGGAAACCCTGTCTCTCTCTCTCTCTCTCTCTCTCTCTCACACACACACACACACACACACACACACACACACACACACACACACACACACACACACACACACATTCCTAACGTACCATCAGTGGACTATGCTGAACAAGTGTGAACCGCTATTTCTAGTCATTTTGAAAAAACTTTATATGACTAATATTGTAAATATATAGTTGCACTCTATTAGTGCTATAGTGGCAAAAAGGCATGACCACCTAAAAAGATTACATTAAAACATGTAATTCATAGCTATACAGGATATGCTGTATGCAGTGGATGTTTTTGGATATGTAGTAGACAAATGTAGTAAGAGTTACTTTAGAACTACTGCCTGCATGGCCAGCAAGCACAATTATGAATTACACACAAATATACATACTCATAAAAAACCATTTCAACTATATGTTGCAGCAAAATATTAAGTCAAAATTCTTTAAAAAGCAACCCTCTTGATTTACTTCTATTTCTATCACTTCTTCTACTGAAGTTAGCATGCTTATCAGCTAGCCTTGCTCCTGTCGGAGCTGCTCGTCACTTTCCGATACTGAGTCACTGTAGCATCCAGGCTGCCCTGAAGCAGTAGTGCTACTCAGAGGAGGTATTGTAACCTCTTGTATTGTAAATGCAATGATGGCAAGACAGATGACAGCTGTTAATGCCAACACATAAAATGCCGGTTTACAAATAGCTCATTTAAATTATAACAATTAATAATAATAATTATAGCAATTTAAAAAAGGCCGTTTTTTGTTTTGCAAACTACACTACCAGCCAAAAGGTTAAGAACACCTCCATTTTTTTCAGCTGTTTCTTACATTTGAATCCTACATTTAATCTAAATGTTTCACTCATTCAGTTGAACACACTTTCTACAATAGAAAGGAAACATTGTTTGGAAAGTTTGTTCCTAAAACTATTGTAGAAGTTCCCACTGTTCTTCCATTATATGAAACCACTGTCTGGTTCCTTTCCTCAAATGTTTTTGGGTCATTCTCTAGGATGAACCTCTGAACAACTGGTCTGTCTTCCTTTGTTACTTGCCTTTTTTTCACTATTCTGATAGTAATATACAGTGCCACTTCCTGCAGTACAGTAGTGTCCTAATAATGCATCAAGGTTTGTTCCAACAATGCCTTTGTACAGACAGAGAGTTCGTAAGTAAACAACAAAGTTGCTTCAGATTTAAGATAACCAATTTCTTAATCCCTGAAAAAGGTGTGTTGTCTATGAAATTTACATGATTTCTCAGATTTGGGTGACCTAAACCTTTTTCTATTTTTTTTTTTTGTTTCACCTTGGGCGGTTTGCCTCTTATCTTTGTAATATTTAAGGTTACTGACTGGAATTAAACTGCTTAAATTTCAATAAAAACTTTAAAAATGGTTGTGTTTTAAAACT